CAGCGCCTGTGCGCTGAAAGCACTTGGCATGGGTTCCAGTGTTCCTCAACTTGTCTGTCTTTGATTTCTTTGCCCTTAGCTGTTGTTGGTCTGTTTCACACCTCCCTTGCATACTTGTGCCTTGTCTGCTGTTTTGTCAAATTCATTCACTTTTATTAGTTTTTAGAACAATTTATTAGTTTATTTTAACAATTATTACAAGTAAACATTCAATGTAGAATCCCATGAAACACTTCTATATTATATTTATTATTATTATTATTATTATTATAGCAGGCCTTACTCAGATGTTATTTTACCTTTGTGAATGTTCTGTAGCCTTCTAGAATAGGTCTGTAGCCAGTACAGCGACATAAATTGCCTGTGTGCAAACAATTTAAAAACTAAAAGATTTATTTAGAAAATATATATATTACCCTAAGGGATAAAATTTCAAAAGATGCAGAAGTTAGAAGACTCTTACTATACCCTGAAAGGCCTCCTGGATGTCATGCATACTGGGTCGAGGATTGTTTCTCAAAAGAGCGTACATAGACATCACAATTCCTGGAGTGCAGAACCCACACTGTGACCCATGAGCCTTTGCAATTCGCTCCTGGATAAAAACAGATTGTTGTTAGAGCTACTGCATCACAAATGAACAGGACACCAGCATATAAAGTGATACAGCTAACGTTAAAACTGTATGAATGGAGGAAGAAAGGGCTTATGCTTTAATGTTATAGTGTGACATGCTGTTATCATAATTATTTGCAATTCTGAGAGAGTAGGATAAAACGGTGACCTGTACAGGATGGAGTTTGCTCGCCACACTGCCGATGCCATCCACGGTTGTTACTGCACAGTGATGCAAAGAGCATAGAGGAGCCAGACAGGCATTAACTGCATGGTGACTTAAAGAGTGCCGTCAAGGACATCATTATATAACTCTGGCATATGTTTCAGAATCCTTTACTAATGCTATATGAATTATTAACAGCTACCATGTACCTGTTATGTGCTTTAAGGACAGCAATGCACTTTATTTCAAGATGTGAGTGCATAAAAAGATACATAATCCGGTTTTGATGTGGATGATATTTGGACACCATTACAGTGCAGGCCCCACAACCTCCTTCAGCACATCCCAGTTTGGTTCCCGTCAGACCCACTGCAAGTGTCGGCACTAAGGAAAAAAGCTTGAAAACAATCACACTGAAAAAGGAAGTGTTACCAGATCAGTGCAGAAAATAATTACAAAGTACAAAATAATGTCAGTGTATGATTTCAGGGTCAATAACTGCAGCTGACATTCTCTGTAATCAAAAATGGCATGTTTGGATCAATAAATCTCACTTGTTTGACATCATATAGCAGTAAATAATTAATGAAGACTGTCAAAATGACGAGGACAAAAACAAAGATTAAACAATTATAAATACATACTGTAAGTGCAAACCAGGTTAAAGTGTTATTTCTATCCAATATGACCCTTAAAAATCGGACTTTTGCTGGTGTAACACCTTTGACTTTAAAAATGACTTTTGTTGGTTCATGGTTCATTTTGCCCATTTTCTGTAATTCAAGTCAAATGTTTGACTAGTTACAACATGAAGCACTTTTTTGGTTTACTGAAAGGCAGCAAAGAATCAACTAAATTCTCCTAAACTAAACTTAATTTATCATAAATTTATCCCAAAGTTAAAATACGTAAGTTTTTTTAAAATTATTATTATATCCTACTGTATAAATATAATTGTGTAGGACATCTTGTGTCTTGAACAGACAGAAACAAATCAGTGCTTTTCATGAGCTGTAATTACTGACTGAAGTATTTTAATAATTAATATATAATATTAATATATTACATTAAGAAATAAACTGACTGACTGTGACGTGTACATGTGAGAAAACCTCATGAATGAGTGACCCAAACCCCAGCAGACAGCAAACAGTTCAGTTTAACCAACAACATAACTCCAGAAGACAGGAATATCATTGTCTCATAAATCCTGTGGTTACGGTCTAATATTTTATAACTTTTTTTCTTTTTGAGAAAAGCAGCATTCAGATCTAACAGAGACTGTTCAACAGAACAGAAGATCAAAAGGATACAGCTTCTCCTAAGATATGTCAAGAGTGTTATCTCAGGCTCGGCATTCTTTTCAGTGATCTGCACAGAATTAATCATGGAAAACGTTTGATTGGCTATACTGGCAATAAAGAAGTAATGCAACACATTAATCAATGTAATTATTAAATTATCCAATTACCTTTTTTCCATTAACGAAAAAAACAAGGTCATCCCCTGTAGACTGAAGTTTGATTTTAGTCTCTTCCACTGTGAACGACATTTTAATGCCCACTGTTCCTGAGAACAAATCAGTGAGATGAGCGCTGCTGTGAGTGAGTGTACGAACTCTGAGCACTGCGTCACGTGACCAGGTTCCAATAAGTGCCGTTGTTTGGAGAATGACATGCAGCAGCAGGAGGGGTAGTAGGCTACACGAAACCTCACAAGTAGCCGAGAAAATTGATTAGCCTACTTCTCTTTGTGAGAACCTGAGTTCAATATCCAAAACCGGACAATCATGACAATTGTAGTTAACGAGAAGATATTAAGCTCACATAGCCTAACATAATGTTTATATTAAGTTTAATGGGGCTGTTTTATAAGCATTGCGAAACGAAACATTAAATGCCTTTCAGTGAGTTATGCACACTTTTATTATTATTTATTAAATTTGTTTTCAGGACGCAATCTTTTGAGGTTCCTTTTGCGCAAACAAATTAGGCCTACACTGGAAAAAAATTATATAGAACCATTGGTCTATCCTATAATACAGATATATATCTATTTTATCTAGTCTATTATAGATCAGTGTGCAGAATCAGTGTTCACTCAGAAATATAATAAATATAAATAAAATATAAATGAACGGCAAGTAACACATTGAATTAAACATGAAATGTTGAAGTAAACTGATAGCCTATTGTTTTATAATAAAAGCAAAACACACAAAGTAAGCCATTTATTTATTGCTTTAAAACGAAATGTATATTTCAAAAACGTTTGTCTGTGTGATGTAACCAACATGTAGCAAGCAAGCTCTGTCGTTGCTTGTTTTGTTAAATAAACTTTTCATAAAAGGTGAGGTTTGTTCAGTTCAAATGTAGGCCTACGACATGAGATTTCAAAGATTCGTAACAAGAAAAGCTCAATCTTACCAACACACAACTACAAACTGTTTGAGGTATATTTTGCTGTTTATTTCTTCCAGAGTTTCTTTCATGGCCAAAGCGAACAGAACCAGCATACTGAGGTAAGTTAGGTCTTATTTTCACATTCCTATGTCATAGCCTACAACATTTATAAACTTCTTAACGTGCATTGCAGTTGTGCATTGATTTACAAATATAAAAGTATTGACTATGCTGATAAATAATTGTTTTAATGTTGGCTAAAGACTAATGTGATATTGTATTATAAGTATTTTTTTTTCCATTCTTTGCCTAATTTTATATGCTTCCAATAATTACCTAATTAAATGAATATTGAAAAAAAAGACAATATTGGCAAATACTGATATATTATGTAGCCTACCCGTCACAAATATGAAGCGTCTCTCGTTATATCTTTCAAAATTGTACACACTCTTTCATACTTTAGAAACTGAGACAGGGGTAGTTGCAGTTCGGAGTAATGGGAGTGGCAAAACGTGGCGTGCCGAAAGGTGAATACTACAATAGAAACTAACCCCTAACCCTAACCAATTAGAAAGACCTTTATCCACGCCCCCTACCGTTCGACACGCCCTAATCTTGCCGTTTCTTTTTAATTGTTTCCTAGCAATTTCTGAGAGAAAATTGATTCTACACACTGATCTATAATAGATAAAATAGATATATAGGCTATCTGCATTAGAACAGTGGTTCTATTTCCACGCCCCTACATTTCGACACGCCCTAATGTTTCGCCACGCCCACTGCTCCAGCCTGCAGTTATCCCTGCTCAGCAGCAACATCATTTGGTGACCTTGTGTGGTAGTGTGTCCCAGAAATATCTAGAGTCTAGAAATATATTTAAAAAAAGACAGAATTTTGGCATTGTCATTTTTCTTCCTGCTCAAGTAGTGTTTCTTTTATATTTTAATTGTTGACTTCATTGTAACTCTGACTCAAAGTCAATATTAATTATGTTCTAAGATATTTTATTATCCATCATAAAATCAAACTATGATCCCTAGAATCTCCCAAAAAATAGAGACAGAAGCTTTAATAGTTTTTTCCTGTCCCACTACCATGTAAACACAATATAAAAGAGGAGTTTTAAAAACTGCTGCTCATCTAAAGATGGCTGATTATCTGAAAAGTTTTAAATCGAAATATTTTGTGTTACATACTTTTCATAGAACGTTGGAACAATATGTTGATATGTTGGAACAATAATCCTGGGATTTATAGCTTCTCCATGGGTGTTAATGAATAATACAAATGTGTCAGACAATCAGCTAATTAGCTTAGCATGGTTGACCTCAGACACTTCGTTGTTCATTCTTTAATTTGTCAGTGGCAGTTGAGCATCATAAAGCATTTGAATATGACCTCCAATGAAACCGTTACATGTTCTAATCAGTTGCTGATTTTGACAGAATCCAGAGTTCCTTAGCTTTTGCACACTATTTTGGTCTTGTTTGGTTATTTTGCCACTTTTAAATTTCTAACATTAAAGGTTTAAAATGTCTAAAAATCCCAATGATACCAACTCCAGGACAAAAGAAACATGACTTTTAGATGTTTTTCACTGTTTCCATTGTGATAAGCCATTTCTGCTACAGAATATATATATAATTGCAACTTTTTATCTCACAAAATCTGACTTTTCTGAGTTTACACCACACAATTCTGAATTCTGAGTTTATATCTCGCATTTTTTTTGGTTTTGTTTCTGTTTTCACCACAGAATAAAAAATAAAAAAGCTAATTGCGACTTCTCACAATTAACTTTTTTATCCTGCAATTGCAAGTTTATATCTCACAATTCTGATTTTTCTGCTCAGAATTTAAGTGTTTAAATCCTGCAATTCTGAGTTTATGTCTTGCAATACTGACTTTTTTATAATAGCAAAAAGAGTCAGAATTGTGAAAGAAGTCAAAATTACCATTTTTTAATTCTGTGGTGGAAATGGGCTTCCATAATAAGCAACTTTGAAAATCAGTAGAAATCTGGTCATACAAGAAAAATAAAGTTGTTACTATTCAGAAAAAATAACAGATAATGTGGAAAATCTCTTGAAGGCAATGACTCATGAAAGAGACATAAGATTCTCTAAAAGAGGTATTAAATATGGTTCCTGTCCAGTTTTCAATCAAAATTCATGCGATCTCCATAAGATGAAAGCCTCCATTGGCCTCTCGTAATTCCTCTTTCTTGCGGGCCTGAACCAGGGAAAAGACCACAGCAGCGAGGGTGTTCCTCCCGAGAGAGATCCCTCTGCTGGTGCTTCTCTCGGCGTAGCTTGAGCTCTGTTCCCTGCTGCTAACAAAGTACGTGCGGACCCCTCCCCGCTGTTCGCTAACCCCTTTGACGTAGATATCTCCTCTAAGCTGTAGCACAAAGCCGCGGTCAGCCAGGATACGGCTTGTGCCCTCTGGGACCTGAATACGGCCACTGAGCCCTGTGCTGTCCATTCGGCTAGCAAGATTCACAGTCATGCCCCAGATATCATACTGGGGTTTAGTGGCGCCAATCACTCCGGCGACTACAGGCCCATGAGAAATACCTGTATGATAGAAAAGCAGTTTTATGCCCATTAAAGTTGTTACAGGAGAAGAGCAATTTACCACATTTTTGTTTAAAAAACATTTTCTTTTGGAATAAAATACACCAGTTGCATACAATAAGACCAGGCAAGTGCATCAAGAGAGTAAAACGGGTTCAATATTGATTTCATGTTGGCCAAAGAACTATGTTCTAATTTTAAATTCAAATTCAAAGACCGTATTATTGTTATAATAATCTTAATAGTCCAATCCAATCACATTAAAATCATACTGATGGTCTTGTTTAAGCTCATTAGTGTGTTTGTACTAGCTCCGAGCAGGTGAATTACTTCCCTTCATAGCAAGTAGTCATCAAACATGCACACGTGACAGATAAAGCAAATCCTATTTAAACTGATATGTTAATTACCAGTAGATGTTTGTGTATTACTAGTAGAGATGCTAAATACAAGAATAGCACAATCTTACCGACACGCAACTGGAAGTTGTTTGAGGTGTGTTTGTTTATTTGTTTCAGAGTTTCTTGCATGGCCAAAGCGTATAGAACCAGCGTACTGAGGTGAGCCCACTCATCTTCACATTCCTACAAAATACACATTAATAAAACTGAGCCTTAATTTGTAGAAATGTACATTTTCAGTTACTACTTAATTATTTCATTACTAGCTATATTTATGAATTTTTAATATTCATGATCATTTATGAATACTTTTTAATGCTTTGTCCTGATTTGCCTTGCCAATGTTTATTTTATTTTTATTAATTGTTAATATTGTATTTTTTTTTTTTTTTTTTATAATCTGAAGCGAACAGAACCAGCATACTGAGGTAAGTTAGGTCTTATTTTCACATTCCTATGTCATAGCCTACAACATTTATAAACTTCTTAACGTGCATTGCAGTTGTGCATTGATTTACAAATATAAAAGTATTGACTATGCTGATAAATAATTGTTTTAATGTTGGCTAAAGACTAATGTGATATTGTATTATAAGTATTTTTTTTTCCATTCTTTGCCTAATTTTATATGCTTCCAATAATTACCTAATTAAATGAATATTGAAAAAAAAGACAATATTGGCAAATACTGATATATTATGTAGCCTACCCGTCACAAATATGAAGCGTCTCTCGTTATATCTTTCAAAATTGTACACACTCTTTCATACTTTAGAAACTGAGACAGGGGTAGTTGCAGTTCGGAGTAATGGGAGTGGCAAAACGTGGCGTGCCGAAAGGTGAATACTACAATAGAAACTAACCCCTAACCCTAACCAATTAGAAAGACCTTTATCCACGCCCCCTACCGTTCGACACGCCCTAATCTTGCCGTTTCTTTTTAATTGTTTCCTAGCAATTTCTGAGAGAAAATTGATTCTACACACTGATCTATAATAGATAAAATAGATATATAGGCTATCTGCATTAGAACAGTGGTTCTATTTCCACGCCCCTACATTTCGACACGCCCTAATGTTTCGCCACGCCCACTGCTCCAGCCTGCAGTTATCCCTGCTCAGCAGCAACATCATTTGGTGACCTTGTGTGGTAGTGTGTCCCAGAAATATCTAGAGTCTAGAAATATATTTAAAAAAAGACAGAATTTTGGCATTGTCATTTTTCTTCCTGCTCAAGTAGTGTTTCTTTTATATTTTAATTGTTGACTTCATTGTAACTCTGACTCAAAGTCAATATTAATTATGTTCTAAGATATTTTATTATCCATCATAAAATCAAACTATGATCCCTAGAATCTCCCAAAAAATAGAGACAGAAGCTTTAATAGTTTTTTCCTGTCCCACTACCATGTAAACACAATATAAAAGAGGAGTTTTAAAAACTGCTGCTCATCTAAAGATGGCTGATTATCTGAAAAGTTTTAAATCGAAATATTTTGTGTTACATACTTTTCATAGAACGTTGGAACAATATGTTGATATGTTGGAACAATAATCCTGGGATTTATAGCTTCTCCATGGGTGTTAATGAATAATACAAATGTGTCAGACAATCAGCTAATTAGCTTAGCATGGTTGACCTCAGACACTTCGTTGTTCATTCTTTAATTTGTCAGTGGCAGTTGAGCATCATAAAGCATTTGAATATGACCTCCAATGAAACCGTTACATGTTCTAATCAGTTGCTGATTTTGACAGAATCCAGAGTTCCTTAGCTTTTGCACACTATTTTGGTCTTGTTTGGTTATTTTGCCACTTTTAAATTTCTAACATTAAAGGTTTAAAATGTCTAAAAATCCCAATGATACCAACTCCAGGACAAAAGAAACATGACTTTTAGATGTTTTTCACTGTTTCCATTGTGATAAGCCATTTCTGCTACAGAATATATATATAATTGCAACTTTTTATCTCACAAAATCTGACTTTTCTGAGTTTACACCACACAATTCTGAATTCTGAGTTTATATCTCGCATTTTTTTTGGTTTTGTTTCTGTTTTCACCACAGAATAAAAAATAAAAAAGCTAATTGCGACTTCTCACAATTAACTTTTTTATCCTGCAATTGCAAGTTTATATCTCACAATTCTGATTTTTCTGCTCAGAATTTAAGTGTTTAAATCCTGCAATTCTGAGTTTATGTCTTGCAATACTGACTTTTTTATAATAGCAAAAAGAGTCAGAATTGTGAAAGAAGTCAAAATTACCATTTTTTAATTCTGTGGTGGAAATGGGCTTCCATAATAAGCAACTTTGAAAATCAGTAGAAATCTGGTCATACAAGAAAAATAAAGTTGTTACTATTCAGAAAAAATAACAGATAATGTGGAAAATCTCTTGAAGGCAATGACTCATGAAAGAGACATAAGATTCTCTAAAAGAGGTATTAAATATGGTTCCTGTCCAGTTTTCAATCAAAATTCATGCGATCTCCATAAGATGAAAGCCTCCATTGGCCTCTCGTAATTCCTCTTTCTTGCGGGCCTGAACCAGGGAAAAGACCACAGCAGCGAGGGTGTTCCTCCCGAGAGAGATCCCTCTGCTGGTGCTTCTCTCGGCGTAGCTTGAGCTCTGTTCCCTGCTGCTAACAAAGTACGTGCGGACCCCTCCCCGCTGTTCGCTAACCCCTTTGACGTAGATATCTCCTCTAAGCTGTAGCACAAAGCCGCGGTCAGCCAGGATACGGCTCGTGCCCTCTGGAACCTGAATACGCCCACTGAGCCCTGTGCTGTCCATTCGGCTAGCAAGATTCACAGTCATGCCCCAGATATCATACTGGGGTTTAGTGGCGCCAATCACTCCGGCGACTACAGGCCCATGAGAAATACCTGTATGATAGAAAAGCAGTTTTATGCATATTAAAGTTGTTTCAGGAGAAGAGCAAGTTACTACATTTTGTTTAAAGAATACAAAGCAAACACATATTCTCTTGGAATAAAATACATCAGTTGTATACAATAAGACCAGGAAGGTGCATCAAGAAAGTAAAACGGGGGCAATTTTGATTTCATGTTTGCCAAACCACTATGTTGTAATTTTAGATTTAAATTCAAAGACTATTGTTGTAATAATTTTAATTGCCCAATCCAATCGCATGAAAATCATATGGATTGTTTTGTTTAAGCTCATTAGTGTGTCTGAACTGGCGCCGAGCAGGTTATATTACTTCCCTTCATAGCAAGTAGTCATCAAACATGCACACGTGACAGATAAAGCAAATCCTATTTAAACTGATATGTTAATTACCAGTAGATGTTTGTGTATTACTAGTAGAGATGCTAAATACAAGAATAGCACAATCTTACCGACACGCAACTGGAAGTTGTTTGAGGTACGTTTGTTTATTTGTTTGAGAGTTTCTTGCATGGCCAAAGCGAATAGAACCAGCGTACTGAGGTGAGCCCACTCATCTTCACATTCCTATAAAATACACATTAATAAAATTGAGCCTTAATTTATAAAAATGTAACTTTTCAGTTACTACTTAATTACTAGTTATATTTATAAATGTTTAATATTTATGAATACTTTTTTTATGTTTTATCCTGACCGACCTGGCCAGAATTGAAGGGATAGTTCACCACAAAAATTAAATTTACCCCATGATTTACTCACCCTCAAGCCATCCTAGCTGTATATGACTTTCTTCTTTCAGACGAATACATTCGGAGTTATATTAAAAATGTCCTGTCTCTTCCAACTTTATAATGGCAGTGAATGGTGGTCGAGATTTTGAAGCCCAAAAAAGTGCATCCATCCATAAGAATTGCTCCACACGGCTCCAGGGGGTGAATAAAGGCCTTCTGAAGCGAAGTGATGCATTTGTGTGAAAAATATAAATTGAAAAACATCCTTATTTACAACTTTATGAACCATAATCTCTACCTTTATTCATCCCCCGGAGCTGTGTGGAATACTTCTTATGATGGATACACTTTTATGGGCTTCAAAATCTCGACCACCATTCACTGCCATTATAAAGTTGGGAAGAGCCAGGACATTTTTTAATATAACTCTGATTGTATTCGACTGAAAGAAGAAAGACATATACAGCTAGGATGGCTTGAGGGTGACTAAATCATGTGCTAATTTTCATTTTTGGGTGAACTATCCTTTTAAGATTTTAATATATTTTATTATTTATGAATTATTAATATTTTATTTATTTAAAAAAAAATCTGATTCCAATATCGATTTAATCAAACGGATGCCTATAATACTATCAGCAACACTGACTGATACTGATTTGGTCACCAGTATATACCATGCATCTAGTTATATTGTCAGGCATACATGTCAAATGTAGCACAGACCTGTTTTCCAGGAGACAGGCCAGATGCAGCCATGTAGCAGCTGCCAATGGTTTTGATTTTCTCTATGTCCTGGAAGTAAGGCTCTTCCAGTAGCTAAGGGGACAACAGGGAAAAAGATTAAGTAAGCCCGTCTCTGAAATTGAAATTTCTCACTATTACAATATCTTATGATAAAGTGAGCATTTGCGCATTTGAAATACAGTCCATTAGTAATATCAGAGCTGCTGTTAGCCGTTAAAACTATGAGCATGTCCGGTCTTGGGCTTCGAAATTTGGTACAAAGAGGATGCTGCAGAAACCCACACACCTCATCAAAGTCAGCGATGATCTCATTAAGAAGACGCAGACACTCCACATCTTGATGAATCAACTCTTTCTTCTCGTAATAATCTGTAAAGCCTGGAATGGAAGCAAACATCACCTCAACTCGCTCGTAGGATTCAGAGAACAGGTCCTTGGAGCCAAAGAATTCATACAGAGAAAATGCAGGAGTGTTACTATTACTTTATTTATACTTATGGATAAATGAAAGTGCTCCATAACTACTGAAATGATTGAAATGCTTCAAATTAGCCTCAATTTGAAAACAAACAACTGGATAATTTGATTACATATATTATTATTTCTTATTTTCTAACCAAAGTTTAAACTATTAAGATCTGTCATCAGTAAGCATGCAACTACCTCATTGTTCCTGTCTCTCTCAAGAAAGTGGCGTGCGACATGGGCAGGAAGGATGTTGTACAGCAGACACTCGTTATGCTCCCTCAGTTCCTTCATGTCCTCCACTTCCTGTCTGGCCTGAAGGCGCCACAGGAAGTCTAGCCTGGCTGTAGTCTCTAACTGTAAGATTAAGCAGAAATAATTTCTTGAATCCTACTGAAATAGCTCAAAGCACAGATAGATATAAAACTGCATGTCAGTTTTGATTGCTTCAGTTACGAATAGAATTTTATTTATTTATTTTTACAACAAGATGATAATCATAGCTAAGTGGTGGTTTGATTATTATGCATTGATATAATTAAAAACATTTATTAATTGTTAAATATGTAATGATTCTACATTATTATTTAAATCACTAGTAGTAGCATATAATACTGAATTCCTATGATTAAAAACTTTAATAAGCTTTTAATATAATACCTGTCTACTGTTGTAGAGGACAACCACAACAAACATGGCCATTAGCAACACAGAAACGCCTTTGCGTCTGAGGTACTGATTTCTGGGCAAAACACACACATATACAGCTTATATCAGCAGAGCCACAACAATTCAACAGTCCAGGAAGTAATTTGTTTTCTTGACTTTATAAACAAGTTTGATGTAGTATATAAGGGTCAGTGAAAAATAATAATGACCAAGATTGAAAAATTAAAAATATAGTTCTTAGAAATGCAAAGTAAATAATAAAAAAAAAACATTTATACAATTTCCAAGAAAACAATTAGCAGATCTAAAAAAATATCAAGTGACATAACAAAACAAAACAAAAAAACCTTACACTTTGAATGCACTTGAGTGTACATGTTAATAATATATATTTTTTTAAATCACAAAAACATACTTTCAATATTTTTTTTTCAATATTTACTTTTTGATTTAAGAATATTGTCAAGTTATGAATATCACCATATTTTCTTGGTGTTATTTGACCTCAACTAATCTTGCTTTTTCATATAAAAAAAGTATAATTTTGATATTTGACCTGTAAATATACTGTAACTTTCAAAACTCAAAATTTCCTCTAAATAAAACTAAAATGTTTAATGTATGAAATCAATAAAAAATTAATAAAACACTTTTTGATAAAACGTTCAAATATTGTACCTCTGAATTTGGCCGTTTTGGTGTTGGCGGACAAAGAGCACATGGAAGGCTACCTCAATGAGGTATGTGTAAACTGCAATGACTAACATAAGTACTGCCAACTTCAACAGACAGCTGAGCCTCAGGAACACAGCACACGTCACCATGGCCACCATACCGCTCAAAACAAAGAACTGCAGAGAGACGGACAGTTTTACTGAATTTAGTGTAGTCACAAGCATGGTAATAATGAAATGGGGTAAAATTAGGATGGCTGTATCAGAATAAGCATTACTGGAAGTTGTCACACTTGTGACACATTTGTATTCAATATGTATCTACTGTACCTCAGGATGAGTGCAGATGTTTACTGGCCACTGTGCACCTTGTTCTGAGTTCTTGTTACTTTCTTTAGCCTCTCCAACCGTGTTACACCACAACTGTACAAATAAAGCAAGAAATAAAAAAGATAGACAGGTTAAGAGAAGCATTTTAATTGGGCCCAAACAACTATAAATTCTGGCACTCACAATATCACAGGTGGCCACACCAAAGTTAATAGCAATAGCGGTGAGGGTGAGCAGGTTACGGATACTCTTGGTCTCGTGGATCCAGCAGCACAGATGTTGTAAGTACGGTGGGGAGCGCTTAAATTCCTCAGCCAGTGTTACCAGAAGCAGTAGCACGTAGACAAACAGGAATACTAAAAACTGGATTACCATAGGACAGATTCTGTGGGCCAGAACAATATTGAAAATGTAATACTGCTACATTTCAAAAATAAAAAAAGTGCACTGTGGTGGGGGGATGAGGGCCTGAACGGCCATGATGAAGAGGAGCATTAGGAATGAGCAGGCCAAGTTGGACTTGAACATCTCGTCTCTCATCTGAGAAAACTGAAAGTGCAAATCTTGTGTGGGCCGACTTTTAAGCAAAAATGCTATACAAAATATAAAAGCTGTTCCTCGGCTGTCCATACCTTTCCCTCGATGTGTCTGTCTTTGAAGACTAGTGTGACGGGTGTGATGTGTTCTTTGCGCATTCGCTCACTACTGCGCACCTCGATGGCTTGCTTGATTCTCTTGTTGATTTCTCGAGACCCAGCACAATGAGGAGTAATCTGATTGGGCAACTGCACTAGGGAGCCATTGGTGAAAGTGGCTAAGATCTAAAAGATGACAATACAAAAACATTGCATCTATTTCAAGTGGGGAAAAAATTATATGACTATTATTAATAGAGATAGATGACGGTTATTAGTTTGTTTGTTTTTAATCGTATTGGTCAATATTGGATATATATTTCCAATATATTTAACTGTATGTACTCATTTCTTTAGCAAATCTTAAAATTATTATTTATAATTATAATGATACATTGGTTTTTTAGATATCAGTATCATTTTTAAGTATCAAAGTTTTAACATCAGTTCCTTAGGAGCTCAACTTGGTTAATTAGTAAAAAAAAGTGTTTACAGTAATATTCTTACATTTGAAGTCTATGGGGCAGGGCACTGCACCTTGATAAATGTTAGCTATCCGCCAAGTATTGTGAATAAGCACATTCCACCCACAAAAATTATGTCTGTAATGCATAACCTGAAGAGTAGTCCCAATGCTAACATGACAATTTAGACAAATTTACAACTCAAATAAAATTTTTGCCTTGCACATAGACTTCCATATTAAAGGGATAATTTACTCAAAATTCTATCATCATTTACTCACCCTCAAGTTGTTCCAAACCTGGTTTCTTTCTTCTGTTGAGCACAAAAGAAGATATTTTGAAGAATGTTGGTAACCAAACGGTTGACGGTAGCCATTGACTTCCAATGTATGGAAAAAATAGTACAGAAGTCATTGGCTGCCGTCAAGCTGTTTGGTTACCAACATTCTTCAAAATGCCTTTTGTGTGTGTGTGTGTGTGCTACAGAATAAAAAAACTCAGAGGTTTGGAACAAGTGGAGGGTCAGTAAATGATGACAGAATTCTCATTTTTGGGTGAACTATTCCTTTAAATGCTTGCTGTAAACATGATTTTCTTTTGATTTTACAAACAAGAGACTCCTTAATATGAATTATTTTCTAATGTAATGGACCATGCCACTGATGCTGGTGATAAAGTTACTAAAGGATTCACTGAATAACATAGTGTGGCACTATTTAACAGGTTTGATAACTTTACATCTTATGACTAACTAGAGAGGACATTCAGATCTAAGTGAAGTTTATGAGGCCAACACAGACTCACGCAGTTCATTCCAATGATGTTATCAAACGGAAGCTCAGCACTCCATGTCGTCTCATCTTTGCTGGTCTTCCGGACTTTAGGGGGCTCCTTGTCTTCCTGTGGCGTATGGCAGATCAGAAAAGTGTCGATCTTGTGTTTGCGTAAAAACTCATTCCGCTGATAGCCTCGACCTTCTTCTGTCTCGTATACCCCATTTAGACAGTCCAGGGTTGCTCGTGATATATGAATCCTCCTATTATTATACAATTTGATTCATTATTCTAATATCAATTTTATTTGGCTAAACATATGACCATGCTAATGATCTGGTGTACTTGCCCTGGGACTCCTCCAGCCTCTAGCATGTTGGCAACATCTACGTCCCAAGACCACACATCAAATTGCCATTTCTGTAGACCCAAAACCCCACACAGAACCGAGCCAGAGTGAATGCCGATACGCATGTCCATATCTCTCTTCAGCTCCTTACGTACATAACTGACAAAGAAAGAGGGAAGCTTAACATCACAATCTCTTTTGTTTTCATCAGCAGAATTAGACTTAAATCGCCATAGAGCATCAATAACAACGCAGGAAAAATAGAATACAAATGTTCCAAAATATCAGATGTGTCTAATCCTGCTCCAGGAGGGTCGACGTCCTACAGAGTTCAGCTCCAGCCTGCCCCAACATGATGTTTCCAGTAATCCTGAAGACCTTGACTAGCTGTTTCAGGTGTACTTAATTAGGGTTGGACCTGAACTTTGCAGGACAGTGGACCTCCAGGAGCAGGATTGGATACACCTGCAAAAGATCTATGAAAGAACTATTTTTTGATAGCTCCACAGAGGCACAACTCATTGGAAGAAATAAATGTATAAAAGGCTTGCTTACAATCTCGGCACATTAAACTGGGAGAAACCTTTAGGAGGTTGGACAAAATATGTAACATACACACCGTATAGTGTTGATCATTGCCAGACCCATCTCTACACAGCAGCGCGCATGTGCAGTTTGGGGCTCTGGGACCCCAGACACACAGTAATAACAATCTCCAAGAATCTTTATCCTCATGCAGTGATTCTCCTAAAGTATCAAAAGATATCTTTCAATTAGCTTCCAACATTGCATACTTTTGACACTAAAACTAACTGTCTCCAGCTGCCTGTGATACTCAAAAGTTAATCTTTCTCACCTCGGCAAGGCGATCAAAGCGACCGAACAGCTCATTGAGTGTGCGCACCAATTCCTGAGCTGACATGGTCATGGAGAGAGAGGTGAAGCCTTTTATATCAGCAAACAGGATACTGAGACAAGACCACATACATGTTCATTTCATGCACCATTCTTGCAACCTAAATGTACTGGAAGACAGTACTGCACAGGGAGCTACGTGTACCTGACGTCTTTGTATTGATGAATGTAGGTTTTATGGAACTGTTGAGGAAGCAATTCATCTTCCATAGCAGTCATATCACCAATCATCTCCGTAGCAATAAATCGAGGAAGAATGGACATCACCAACCGCTCCTAATGCAAAATGATTTCTCTTTTCTTCAGAGGTTTCATATTAATGATCTAAGAATATCTTATTAAATCAAGAATCTCAAACCTGTCTCTGGTTCTCTCGTTCCATTTTGACTCGTCCTTCAATGCAACGCCGTGTCTCAAGGAATGCCTGCCTTTGAGCGCGATCCGATAAGTAGTGGATGAACAGCCCTGCGGTATTCATACCCATGTACAACAGACCTTTTGCTAGTAACTGAAAGAAAACCAAGAGTAAAAGTTAGCACAGTTACTGAAATGAACAAGACAAGCTTTATTCATTCTTGTATTTATCTTTCAAGTTGACAAATGGTTGAAGATTGTCTTGAGATGATGGTTTATTCATATGTCCTAATAATGGAGCATTTATCAAAAAGAAGACCAAGTACAACTCAACAGAAGTTTCAAGTCTGAAACTGACTGACTCCATATTTCAAGGATAGTTCTTGTGGTGATCTTTGATTTTAAAGAAACACTAATTTCCTTCTACTTTTTGACACAGGTGAGAATCGAAAGTGAACTTTGAAGTTAGATGAGCTTTGAGCTTGAGCATGGAATCTTCTTTACCTTTCTTACAATGGCCGTGTCATTGTAGTTCCTAAGGGCATCCACCAACAGGTGCAAGGCAGCAGTGAAGAACCCTATGAAGATGGACCACAGTAGAGGTAGGGGCAATAGTGTGTAGGTGGCGAAAAGGGTGAAGAGCGCATACCAGGACTGGTTCTCCAACCCATATGCCAAACCACCCAGCGCCTGCACAGTCTGGGACAACCAGCTTGCCAGCCCAGCATAGCGCAGGTAATCTGGAGACATCAATCCTTTACAGGTCAGAACTAAGACACATATTACTGCTCCAAGTCCCATGAAGAGCCCAGCCAACCATCCTTGTTGAGAGTCCACCATCTCAGGGGCCACAGCCAGGTAGATGAAGAGAATATGGAGTTTGGTAAGGATATCAATGACATTAGTGACTACAAGAAAAGCTCGGCACTGACCAGACAAGTGTTGCTGGTACAGATGCTCGAGATCATGAGATTTAAACTTGTGGTGAAGAACCGGAAGGAAAATGCCACGCACTGTGGAGCCCCAGCTTACGAAGAAGTCAGCATCACTGAGCGAGTCGGTGGACTTGCGTGTGCAGGTGGAGTTGCGCTCTCGTAATGGGTGAACGCGGGCTGCCGAGGAACGCCGCTTATGCGTGCCTGCGTTGCCCCGCACAGCTTTGCTACGAATCTGCCTGTTGATGTCATCGATGTAGGCATCAGTAACAATGATTTTGTGAGAACTGGCTGCTCGCCCGTCATGGTGCATTCCTCGTTGGTCGATAATGTGACGTACTGCATTCTGCCACATTAGTTGCTTGCGTTTCAGGTTGGGGGAGGGAGACACGGCTGGGCATACCTTAGGCGGAAGAGTGACTTCTGTGGAACTCGAAGCCATGATCTGAACCTGATTTGAACAGGCTTTAGATCACAAAACTCAGTTCAAGACCTCTATCAACTGCACAAACCTAAAGCAAGACAGAAAAGAAAAAGGTTTAATAGTCTGGATGGAACATTGAAGTTGTATCAGAATGAAACCCATAAACAAACTTTAACATGAAATATGACAATATACACTCTAAAAAATGCTGGGTTAAATACAACCCAGTGCTGGGTTAAATAGGGACAAACCCAGCAATTGGGCTGTTTTGACCCAGCGGTTGGGTTAAGTGTTTAACCCAACCTTCTGGGTAGTAACCCAACCGCTGGGTCAAAACAACCAAATTGCTGGGTTTGTCCCTATTTTACCCAGCATTTTTTAGAGTGTACAAGCACAGTACCCTTAAAATACCCCCAGAATACACTCAAAACAAGTTCAATACTACCCAGCGTACCCCCAAAATGAGTTGCTTTTACCCCCAAGAATACCCTAAAAAAAATTTAATTCTCCCCAAAATGGTTAAATGTTTAACCCAACCTTCTGGGTAGTAACCCAACCGCTGGGTCAAAACAACCAAATTGCTGGGTTTGTCCCTATTTTACCCAGCATTTTTTAGAGTGTACAAGCACAGTACCCTTAAAATACCCCCAGAATACACTCAAAACAAGTTCAATACTACCCAGCGTACCCCCAAAATGAGTTGCTTTTACCCCCAAGAATACCCTAAAAAAAATTTAATTCTCCCCAAAATACCCCTAAAACAAGTTCAATACCCCTTAACAATTACCAAAACAAGATCAGTACCCCAAGAGTACCCCAAAACAAGTTACCCTCAAAATACCCTTAAAACAAATTAATATCCACAATTTCCCTCCAAAATAAGTTCACACCCACATATATCCCCATAATTTAATCAATACGACTGTACACAATGCATGCAATGTGTGCACTAAACTGCATATTAAAATAAGGAATATTGCTGCAAAAGGTCAGACTATTAATTCAGAATGATTTGCAGAAAACATTATTGATTTATACTGTGCATATAAATGCAATAAAAGTTAAAGTAAATGGAAGGATACTTGCCATTGATGTGGTGCTGCAAGCTTGATAAATCTTGTAACGATGCATGCATCTGCTTCTCCATGAACAGTAGCCCAGTTAAACTGATCCAGACCCAAGCAAATATCTAATGCGGTACATTCTTGTTCCTCAAAGGTGGGATACTCGGCATCTGAGTGCAGAACGAGTCTTCTTTGACAGTTTTCCTGTCTGCCATGCTATTCATCATAACTATGCTTTGCATAGTTATGTAAATTATTTGTCCTGATAACTTCCAACCATGTTATCCATCACTTCGCTTAAAAAAAAAAAAACTCCTTGGCATTTTGTTAAAGTCAAGGCCACCCCAGTCCTGTATGTGGCTGATTGACTCAGTTTTGAGTAGCACTGTCTTCAGGTAATGAAGTGATTGCTTGGCCAGATGGTCTGAAAAGCTGCCCTGACCCTTCCGAGAGGTAGCAGAGCACAATCTGCTGAAGCTTATCCTATGGAAGAATCCAGACTCTTAATGGAAATGTTTAGAGGCAAAAATAAGTGGACTTGAACTCCGCACTGAGGCAGTGACAAAGGGGCTTGGGATCTAATGCACACACATACACACACACACACACACACAGACAGACAGAGGCAGTAATAGGTTGAAATATAAGGGATTATCTACTCAGCAAAAGCGCACGTGATCCATTAAGGCCTCATGGTCACAGCTAACAGGATAAAGTCTGTGACAGGCGAGTTTATGTGTGGAGGTATTGCTAGGTTAAAATCTAATTGTTCTGAAAATCTATTTTTGGAAAGCTGTTTGTTTATTCCATGTTTCAAAAAGTTGATAAGTCTTAAATATATATATTTTTTCACAATATTTACAGGCCATCTTACACCTTTGTTAGACTATATATATATATATATATATATATATATACAGTGGGTACGGAAAGTATTCAGACCCCCTTAAATTTTTCACTCTTTGTTATATTGCAGCCAAGGAGAAAATGTGATAGTTTGTGATTGGTTGACATCTGCTCTTGAGCAGAGACAGTGCAGGGTTTTAGTTAGCAGGCCAGGCCGCTGATTCAGGGAATGTAGGAAGTAAGCTGGATAAAGTGCTTCTCACTGATCTGGTTACCAACAATATGTGCCAGGTCAGAAAGTGACTGAACCATCTGTTTCCTTTAACATAAATAATCATGCTTTTCACTTGAGTGGATGACTTGAGCTAAATAATGTTGAGTTGCCTTTACCTGCTGGCTTAATTTTTACAGTATTTATATAATGCAGTAGCCTAAAAGGCCATTTACACAGAATGCGTTTTTGCATTCCACCGTACTGCTTTTCCATTGTTTTTCTATGTAAATATGTGCTAAATGGTCAAATTTGATTGTTGTGTCTGTTGAAGTATCTCGCGTTTCACGGCATTCTAAAAACGTGGCACTTGAGTTAAAAGAATTCAACTTTTATGAAAACACACCTCTAGACTCTGCAGGGTTTTTTTTTTCACTCCACTGCTCTGCATCTCAATTTTTAAGACACAAATTAAATCTGTGTGAATGGCCCATCATTTTGTAGCTTTTATGAAACGGTTTTAGTTTGCAATGTTGTGGTAATAATGCAATTTTCAAAACCAAAAGGCAAAAGTGATTTACAATTATTCCTTTATTTCGCTATGTAAGCCGAATGGAGAAAGTAAATGCTTCTGTGCATAAAACAGAGCCACTTTTCCCATTGAGCAGTGGCCTTTTCATTCATGTAAACATGTATTCTGCATAATTACAAACATGCTTCTTACTCATGCCTTAACACATTTCACACTCAGACAAATCAATGTCACAGAATGAAACAAAAGGAAACAAAAGTGACTCCAGTTAAAAGATTCGCTATTGTGTAGTGTGTGTAGCTAATGAAACATTTAGGAGTACAACATTACGGATGATGTAACTAACATTGTTCGGGTAAATGTTACATAGTCAAACATAAAGAACAAGGTAGCTCATTATCAAAAGCCCTTGAAAATAAACAAATGTAATAAAGATCACAAAACGTGTACTTTCAGATAAATATTTAAAAATATAAATAATGGTTACATTGCACATGTACACTCACATTGTGTTGTAAACACCACAGTTCCATAAAAAAATACAATATCTGATATACTTGCATTACAGTGATTGTTACCTACATAGAAGTGTTAATATACAAGGGCCAAATAAATCATTGTTGAACTAATGCATGTTGGCACATCTACACAGCTCTGCTAATGTAACAGTTTTATCTTAGTTATATTTATTCCAGTGTTGGTGTAAACAAAGCCCCTTTATTCTTGTGTTATCCTTGGACCAGATATCATTACTGTGACATATTTACAGATAGTTCCTTTCATGCCTACAACACTTCAGAAAAAAAAAATCAACCATATATATATTTTTTTAAAGCTACTGTCTCAACATCAATAATGGTTAGATTTTTAGTTTTGCACTTAGCAAAACCCCTAAATGTTGTGTAATGACTGGTAAACAGTACTCTTATACACTTTAATATAATCTTGGCACTAGTGACCACAACCTATACTAGAGTACTGTTCAAAAGTTTGGGGTTGGTACGAATTTTCAATGTTTCTGAAAGTTTCTTATGCTCACCAAGGCTACATTTATTTTTACCAAAAATACTGTAAAACAGTAAATTATGAAATATTATTACAATTTAAAATACCTGTTTTATTATATTATGTTATATTATATTATATTATATTATATTATTCCAATATACTAATTTGGTGCTCAACAAACATTTCTTATTAACATCAATGTTGAAAAATTTTGTAACAATGTTATTGTCTTTGTCTTTGCACTTTTGATCAATTTAACACAACCTTGCTGAATAAAAAGTATTTTCTTAAAAAATATATATATATCTTACTCCAAACTTTTGAATAGTAGTGTATGTTTGGTAAGTCTATTATTACAAAAACTATATATATAATACCCATAAGTGCATAACTTAAGTTAAATTAACAAAATGCATGTGCACGACACATACCATATTTCTTGAACTGGTTGATTTACATACTATCTATTGAAATGTAATTCTCTTCAAAAGACAAGCGACATTCTAGAGAGCAGATGTTAAATGTGAGTAGACTTACATAAAAATGGCATTTTATTTTAGTTATTTATTTTAGTTATATTTATTATTTATTATGTACAGTACATTTTTGTAAATAAATAAATACATTTGAAAGAAATGATATTGCACTGATGCAAAGGTATTGGACAAGTTACATTTTCTGCTCATGCTTTTCCTCCTCTTTGGAGTGAGCTAAGGAGAAAAACTGGGAATCATGTAGGTCATAGTGTCCCTGTGAGGTGCATCGGGATTAAACAACAGCATTAGAATGCTAAGTCTGACTCGTAAATCAGTTGGTAAATAAGTGGTCTTTCACCTGTACATCTATGGGAGCAAAGCAGCACAAGTCACAGGACAGACTGGGAAAAGAAGGGTCATCCTCATGCTCCAAGACAATGTGACATGCACATGATTTGGGCTGAAATCTTACAGCATTATTGTTGTTTCCCTACTACAACTTTTGACATCAACATGTATATTACATTATAAACAGGACAGCTGTACGTCATAGTATAAACAGTGTCATAGCTGTATGTCAAGCTCAGCTGTTACTAAGTCTTTGTTGGAGTCCAGAGGCTTCTCCATGTGTCTTAAGCGTAATCTTCACTGAGAAGGGAACTCTGCAAATGCGAGGTAACTCTCCAACTCCAACTAATGGCAATGTGAAGCTGATCAACTTAAAACAAGGGAACATAGTTAAGTTTCGGCCTTAAAGAGTCATTTGTTGGTTTTTGATGAAATCTTGAGGTGAAAACACTTTTGTGGTACTACAATGGTATTTGTACTTCAGACATTCTGATAGCATATTTAAACTGCCCTGACAATTGTTTTAAATGCACATTTAATAATCAAAAAAACATATATATATATAATTAAAGGGGTCATATGATGCGATTTCAAGTTTTCCTTTCTCTTTGGAGTGTTACAAGCTGTTCGTGAATAGATAAGATCCCTGAAGTTGCAAAGACTAAAGTCTCAAAACCAAAGAGATATTCTTTATCTAAGTTAAGACTCTGCCACACCCCCCTAAAACGGCTCGTTCTAACACGCCCCACATGTCTACGTCACGATGTGGAAAGATTTGCATAACGCTTTGTAGAAAACGAAGCGTTTGAGAGAGGCGGGGCATAGAGGACCTACAATAATGTACAGTATTTGAAAAAGAATGTGTTTTTTGAACATTAAAGCATGTCAACATATTCTGTTACACCAAATACACCAAATAATGATCTTTAAAATAGCATCATATGACCCCTTTAATACAAATTCAACAAACAAAACACCACAGCAAGCAATCGAAACAAACAAAAAGAATGTTCATTGGCACAATGAAGATGAAAACAATCTGTTCAGACACGATGTGGCGGATGTGTTTGTAATGGAAACCATGTGAGATGCACTTGTGTGTGGGAATACGCTCCTACTTGATATTCTTGAGCAGCGATGTGCGAGCATTAACCACTGCTTTAAAGGCATCCTCACTGCCTGGGGCCACACACTTGTCCGGGTGCAACAGTACAGCCAACTTCCTGTATGCCTTGTTGACTTCCTCCCTACAAGCACAAAATGAGAAAAACCTATTAGTCTCAGTTTGCACACATCAAACAGGCCTTTAAAATGCTGATATGGCAAACCACTGTGGTCCCACTAAAGAGGGATCACAGTGAAGAATCAGCTAAGGAAGAAGGATTGTGATTGGCTGGGAATGAGAAATGACACAAGCTCATGATTGGTTTCTCAGGGTGTTGGGGAAATCTCAAAGAGGTTAATTAAGCTGGCAGGAGAGAATTTTGGGATGGTAATTGGATTGAAGGCATTCTCTAATGATCTGACCCACATGATTAAACCAGCCAAGCTAACACAACCGGCAGTGTTGCATCAATAATACTGAGACAATATAATTAAATGGGAAATAACAGTACCAAACTGTATCAACTATTTGTTGCTTGCTTTTAAGCATCTGACATTTCAGAGAACAGGAGAGTAAATACTAACTTTAGTTTCCTTAATGGTTATTAAAGCAACATCAAACACATTATGTCCTCTGTCACTGGTGGGCATTGTGTATGTGTTAAAGATGGGAACACACTAACCTATTAACATCAGTTGACTCTTATAACTTAAGAGAGGTTAAGTGGGGTTTAATAAAACAGAGCCAAATCAACATCCTAATCCAAATGCAACACAAGGCCTACACTAGTGATATCTGCTATTTTTAAATGATCGCCCAAAAACTTATAGTGGGCAGATTAGTGCTGCAATCCTGATTTTTGACGGCATGATGTCTGGAGTACATAGTTTACAAACAACACAGCTGTTTATGGCTGGTTAAAACTTTAGAGAACAAAGCCCTGTGGCCTACTGTATATAATATAGTAAATTTAATATTTACATTTATTTTATTATTATGAAATTACGTGATATATTACATGTATGGCATTTTATCGACCATCAGCCACCATGCATGCTCTTTTAGATATCCACACTATTTTTTTCAGTCCATCACCAGATCACCATTAAATAAATTTATATTATACAAAAAAATCTGAAATTATAGAATAGATCAGTTGTATAACATCGTCAAATCACTGCTGTCAGGCATTAACAAAAATGTGATACTCTGCATCAGACAAATTCATATATACACCATATATACATACACTAATGTTTAAAAGTTTGGGGTCAGTTAGATTTGTTTTTTAAATAAATGAATACTTTTATTTAGCAAGGATGCATTAAACTGATCAAAATGGACAGTAGAGACATTTATAATGCTACAAAAGCTTTCTATTTCTATTTACAATAAATGCTGTTGTTCTGAACTTTCTATTCATGATCCTGAAAAAAAAAAAGATCAGTTTCTACAAAAATATTAAGCAGCACAACTGTTTTCAACATCGATAATAATAAGAAATGTTTCCTAAGCCCCAAATCAGCATATTAGAATGATTTCTGAAGGATCATGCGAACACTGAAGCCTGGCGTAATGACTGCTTTGCCAACACAGGAATAAATTACATGTTAAAACATATTATACAAGAAAACAGTTATTTTAAATTTTAATAATATTTCACAATATTACCGTTTTGACTATTTTTGATTAAATAAATGCCGTTTTGGTGAGCATAAGAGGCTTCTTTCAAAAACATTTTAAAAATCTTTCCGACCCCAAACTTTTGAATAGTAGTGTATATTGCATGGATTCAAGATGTTTAAATGCCATGCTGTAGAGTGTAGGAAAGCTATCATTTAGTTCATTAACCTGATACTGTGCAACAGAGCCAATTATACAGAGCAATAGTCAATATCTAAATAGATATTAATCCAGAGTATGATATAAAAAAGTTCAGCAGCACTAGCAGACACACTTAGCATGCAATTTACCTTGTGGCCCCAGGTTTAACCCCCAGCATATCCCAGCTGTCTTTGCTGTTGCGGATGCGTCGGATGGTGTCGGCCTGCTCTTTAGTAAAACCTACATTGACCTCTGAAGTGGGTCTCTTCCCTCCATTTTCACACATGTCAGTAATGGATGAGAAAAAGGCCTGTGGAGGTGGACACACATTAAATAAACAACAGTCAACAGAATGACAGGGCTGTAAACTGTAGAGTCACGTGAGAGAGCATATACCTGAAACATTTCATTGATGCCTTCACCACTCTGGGCAGAAGTTTCAAAGTAATGAAATCCTCTGCTCTCTGCCCAAAGTTTCCCCTCACTCTCATCCACAACTCGTCTTTTCGTCAGGTCAACCTTTATTGGTGAGAGACCACACTTTATAACAGTCTCTCTCATGTAAATCACAGATTAGACATTTAAACGCCAGAGGGACCTTGTTGGCACACACGACGAAGATGATGTTCTCCATGTTGGCCTGTGAGCCCATTTCCTGCTTCATCTCTGTGAGCCAGCTGTCCAGAGCGTCAAAACTCTCCCTCAGACCAACATCATAGACCAGAATCACCCCCTGAGAGTCCTTATAAAACTCATTGCGGACCTGTAAAACACACAGCATCAATTCCCTCCAACATCAGACTCTCACAGCCATCACAAGCCAATAACCGGTGATCAATTTCTATACATGGCAACAAGAAAAATGCTTAAACGCTGATGCCATCAGGTTCTTCAGGGAGGACATTACATGGACAGCAGCTCAATACTACCACACTGTGGTAAATTAGATGTACTCATAGAGCAATAACAAAAAACAATTCTTAATTACATTGTGTAATAAAAAGAGACATTTGTTTACACATTTTTTAATAATAATTTGAAACACACTTAATCATGTGCATACACATACAAATATAAAATAAATCAAGCAATACCTCATAAAAGAAAGGATGTCCAGCCATATCAAAAATGTTTACTTTTATCTCCCTGTCTCGAACCTGAACCCTTGAGGTGAAGAAAAAACAAACAAACAAAAAATTAATTTACATTCCATCAGTGAATCGATCTAATTGTGCTTTATTAATAGACAAAACTGTCTTTTGCATCTAAAAAATATGTGCCATTGCACCAATAACTGACAAAACAACCACTTCAATCATATGCTTGAAAATTATTATAAGGTTATTATTGCTTTTTTAATATGAAACATTCCTGCAAAATGGTAGATACAATCAATGAATTCATAAATAAATAATACAATTAAGCGATAATATTTCCAGCCAGTAGAACCAGGTGTTTATGTGCCATGAATATGATCAGAATTGGATGAAATTCTTGCTTGCTGCCTTTTGAACCTCATATTTGAAAAAAAGAATGACAAAGAGAAATAATTTATCAAACCCACATCACTTACTTGGTTACACCATAATCTATCCCAATAGTGGCTAGATACTTGGGCACAAACCGCTTCTCACAGTACCGTTTAATAATGCAGCTCTGAAACAATAAACAGAAATATTATGAAATATTACGTGCTTTAGGTAACCTAGTATGCTACTGTAACGTTACCTACTATGCAGGATAATCTAAAAACAAAATAATACTGAATGAATAGCTCCTAAATGAAACAAACAGATTAACGTTACTAGCAAAAAATATTTACAGTATCAGTAACGTTGAATATCCATGCACATCAAATACACAACAAAACATGTATAAGGGGATAGCAGTTAATTCTTAGAGAAAATGAAGTGAACATCAAACTACTGATACGTTCAAACATACGTATCATTAACACAAGATCATGTTAATAAACAAATGTAAAGAACCACCTGATCTTTGAAGTTTGATGTCTGTATGGTTCATAACAGTCCATTCTTACCTTCCCCACCTCTGCATTTCCCAGACTAATGACCTTAACCCGTAACGACTTCTTGTTTTCTCGCCTCTTCTGAACATTCGTGTCCATATTGCACTTATTCGCAAACCTCGTCCAAAGGAGAAGATGAAATATCTCTAGAATTCACGTATGTTTATGTCTGAGTCGGTCCGTAGACACAGTGAGCAGCTGGCTATGTGGCTAACAGAGAGCCAGTGTGTCACGGAATATTACGGATAACATTTTTCCATAAACCGAAAGTACATTTCACGCATGTTTTCCCGCGGACAAAAAACGCAAATATTTTAGGAGGTAGAATTATTTAATTTCGACATGCTAACGGGCTAGTTGCCCTAGCAACGACTATTTGCTTAGCTACACGATTAAAAACAACAGACTCAACAGAAACTTGTAAAAAAAAAAATCTATATATATAAACAAGTGGTTTTAAAACAGCGTTTTACATTATATATTTCATAAAGACGTTAATGGCAATTATGAGAAATAAGAATAATCTGTGTAATCAAAAAATTGGGGCAATTTATAGCAAACAGATGAGGGTTTCTATGGCGACAGCAACCCTCATACACAGATTCGACAGAGGGGAGTCGATTGGCGATGTCCGATTCGTGAACGAATCATTAATATGAAGAGGATGAATCAGTTGAATCGGCTCACAAGCGGTTCTCGACTCACTCACCTACTGAATCAAAAACACTTCTAGCATGTGCGACTCATATTGTGTCGAGAAACGATGAGCAAGCTGATTACGAGAATTTTCAGTGAACCGAAAATTTGACATATGGAGCGAAAAGTAAGCTAGGTTACTTTTAAAGCTCATTTGTGTGCTTACGACTTGATATGGTCGTTTGATCATCATGCATACGAAAAAACGTGTTGTTTTAATAAATTGCGTTTTATTAAATCGCCAAGCCAAGCTTTTAGAGTTTAATATAAGTGCAATCTGGGACACATAAACACACTTAATAAAACAAGCATTAACAAGAATATTTGGTTACAAATTGCTTTATTGTAATGTTTTAGACTAGTGAATATGCGTAGAGTAATTAATTACATGGATAATGTAATGTCAAGAACCATATGATTCAGGATTTTTTTTTTTTTAGGTTCTTAAACGAATTGTTCAGAAGAACCGATTCGCGGAAATCACTAGAGTCAATTAGAAGAAAATAAAAACTACAGTTTTAAAATATTCTATAAAATTGACAATTAATTTAATGTCCTAAAATAAGATCTAAAAGGCAACGAGAGGGATATAAAAAAAATTGCTGGAACTCTATAAAAAGTTCCTGAGCCAAGTGAGTGACAATGGGATGGAGAGAGAGTGCAACAAACCTTAGACAGGAAGGGAGGGAGGTGGTTGTAGGCTCTTATTAACATAGCATACAGTGGATGTAACTCTAAAACTAATAGTCAGGCACTCCCATGCTTTCCAAAAAGGATTCAGATATATAATAGATTTGATTATAAGAGTATATATTATTCTCATTAGTTATTCTGGTGAGAATAGTCAAGAAGATGCCACTTCCAAGTTTTCCAAATTTTTCAGGTCTCCCAGATTTTCCAAGTCCAAGACGACTACTCATGGATTGCAGTACACTGTTGGACCATCAAGTCGGAGGTGGTAAGCTCATTTTTAGGCTATATAATTCTGTTTTGTTGTTTGTTTGTTTTTTCCCCATGGTATTGTTTTCATTTATAGCACTTTCATTTTGATGTTTTGAAATAGCCTGATTAGTCAGTAATTTGATCCATGAATTTTTGATATAGGAATGCTCATACAACATTTAGCAACTGCAAAAAATAGTAAATGGTCTTTGGTAATATGCTGCTATTATTCAACCATCTTTATGTTTTCATGAATAATTCACAGTTGCGTGTCTAAAGCTGAAACACGGTCAGATTAACACTGAGCCATTTCACTTGCCATGGATCATAAGACGCTAGAGCTTCTCCCATCAGGCCACACAAGAAAATGCACAGTATCCTGATGTAGATTTAGGTTTCTTTTAAATAAGGATTTATTATTATTATTTTGTTAAAAATAGTACATAATAGTAAAACTAAAACAACATGCATTATAATTTAATAATTTAAAATGGAATTTTCTTCTGTATAAAATATTCCTTTTTCTCTTTAAATCAGATAAAATATTAAAACCTCTAGACAAAAATCTATCTTTTATTAGACTCTCTTTATAGCAGTCAAAAAAAAATCATGCATGCTTTATTCATTATAAAAACCAAAAAGGCAACAGAAAATAACAGGCAACAATCAAATACTGCTAGAGAGAGTGGGCAACGGGAGGCGGGGTTAGTTGACTGACGCATGGCTGCACCAATTGATTCCTTCCCTCTCTCATCCTCTCGTCTTCACTCTTTCCATCTCTCTAACACTCTCCTCTATGGCAAGCCGTTTTAGCTTAAGTTAAAACGGCTTGCCATACTCCTCATGTCCCTCCCCCTCTGCCTTTCTCATTGTTGAATGGTCAGGAGGTGTGTGAATTTATTCATCTTTGAGGAGGGGCTGTATGCGTGCAGGAGTGCGTGTGAGTGTGCATATATATTCGTATGCGTGTGTGTGTGTGTGCACCTGTGTGTTAAACCAGCATTGTTCCTGATAGAAGGAAAGCTGTGCCACGCTGTTTGGAAAATCCAAGGTCATTGGAGCCCGGTCACATGCGCCGTATGAGAGCGTGCGTGTGTGATTGAGTGTCTGTGAGAGCGTGTGTGTCTCTCTCTCCCTCTCTCTCTGGCTATGTGACAGAGAAAGAGGCTTCAGGCAAAGAACAGAGAATTTCATCAGGTTTTCAATGTACGGTAAGGGCGATTGTGTGAGTGCATGATTATGTGCATATATGATAATTCCCTGCCTGTGTTTAGGAAGGAAAGATGTGCATCACAGGAGATTATGGCAATGACAGCAGAATGATGCTGAAGCAACAGATTGCATGCAGTATTGCAGCTCTACTCTATTTATTGTGCACATTTCATTTCATCTTTCATTTCAGGCATCACCGATTTAGCTTCATCCACACTACTTTGCACCGAATACTCAAGCACACACTACTAAAACACACAGATCTACTGCAACATTCAGTTATTTACTCTAACTGTACATTTGCATGTACACATATTATATTTTCTGCTGTATTCATGTTATTTAATCTGACCAGCATGTTTAGGATGTTTCAAACGAACTACAGGCAGTCAGGCTGCGACTTTGATTTCTCACAGCGTGGATGCCTTAGCTGGCTTTAGCGCTTCAAAACCAGATCGATGACATTTTTTAACAGCCTGAGTATTTTTCAGCCAGATGTCTCCACTCATGCCAGGAAAAACAGCTTTTTGAGAGAATATAGGACTAAGTCAGTTACAGTTTGACTTTATATACTGAATATATAAAGTATAATATACTTATATGGATTTGTGGCCTAGAATCCTATATTCTACCAATCACAATTTTAGGGTCAGTAAGATTTTTTTTTTTTGTAAGAAATTAATACTTTCATTCAACAAGGATGTATTAAATTGCTCAAAAGTGTACAATGTTTATAATGTTACAAAATATGTTTATTTCAAATAAAAGCTGTTATTTTGAACTTTCTATTCATTAAAGAATCCTGAAAAATATGTATCACGGTTTCCACAACAATATTAAGTTGCCCAACTGTTTTTAACATTGATAGTAATGAGAAATGTTTCCTAAGCAGCAAAACAACATATTAGAATGATTTCTGATTATGTTGAAAATACAGCTTTGCCATCACAGGAATAAACTTAAAATATGGCATTCTAATCTTTAAAATACAGTATATTAAATATATTAAATATATTTAAAATTATAATAATATTTCACAGTGTTATCTTGCTTTACTGTATTTGTGATCAAATAAATGCAGCCTTAGTAAGCATAAGAGATTTCTTTTAAAAACATAAAAAAATCTTACTGACCCCTAAACTTTAGATCATTAGTATATCTTAATTTTATGCATTAATGTTTAAAACAATTTTTTTCTTAATCCTACATTTTTCTGTTGATACAAATTTAATTTTTTTTATATATGTATACATATATTTTCAGACATTTGGACCTCACTGCGTGTTATTTAGATTTACATTTTGGCTTCAACTGCAAACTATTTTGGCAGATGATATGTAATGTTTTAATAGCAATACTGAAACACTTTAACTATACCCTAAAACTTCTTCAAAAAGGCACAACATTATTCTCAAACAGAGTCCTGAGTATGCAAATGATAGTTTTAGATTAACTAGATGCTCATGGAAGTAGAGCTGACAGTGACAAGGTTAAAGAAGTAAATGAATAGATTTCATTGACTTAGCATGAAGTTCCCTCTCTGTATTTCTGCTTTTTCCCTGTGACACTAACATATATGAGTGAGTGTCTTTGATATTGTGTCCCGTTTTGGTCAATCTGAAGGGATATGGCATCTTTGATGGCTGATGTGCTAAATATAGCTGTCATAAGCCCTCATAATTCAAGGGAAATGTATTTAGAGTGACTGCGTCATGACGAGAGAGACAGTGCCAGAAGTCTGCATTCGGAAAGATTGATTTTACATACTGTAGCCGCCACAACATGGAGTTTGATTCATTCACATGCATAGTGAGTTGTGTGTTATGTAAAGCCCTATTAAAGCTGGATGTCTTCTAGTATCCCTATACCAGCTTGGAGGATATCATATCAGCCACAGTAGTACATCCCAGCACCACTAGTTCTTTATTATGACATAATCTTCTTTGTCACAGTGCCAGCTATAGCCTTTGTTTTGCAGCGTATGCAGATTGCAGATGTGCGTGTAGAGTTGTTCTTGGCAACAAAGTATGCACTTACTTCCCTAGTGTTGATGCTACACTCCTGATTTAAATTATTTAGTTGTTTTTGCTTTCTGAGTGTAACATTTTACATTTATTTATTAACGTTGTCATTAGATGTACAGCATTCTGATATAGCAAGTTAAAATAATAAAGCTAAAAGCAGATATTTTGGCCCCTGGGCTCAGTCAGTGTCAGAAGATTGTGCCAGGTGAATGATAGAGGTGAGTACACAGCCATAAGAGAATTATGAGGGTTGTAAACCAGAGGGAACTGTGAAGGTTATATTTACCACCCTGTCCGAGAAACAGAATGCCAAAGCGCTTGTGTTTAATAAATGTAGCTAATACAGTAGTAAAGCAGTTCCTGTAGCTCTTGCATGGAGCTTGGATTTATGAACTTAATATTTACTTCATGCTGTACTTATGATTATGTTGAAGGGATGCTCATCAAGATATTCGGATTTTGGAGCATATATGCTTGAGAGAGATTATTTTGATTTCTTGCAAATCACTTGGTTGTCTGTTGACAATTCTTTGTCTCCTCCTTGTCTTAACATTGCCTAATAATTCATTGACAGTATATTCATGCATTTAGCAGATGCTCTAAAATATTTGAGGAGAATTTGCAAAAACTCTATACATTTGATCAGAATGAACTCCCTGGAAACTGAGCTAGACTAAGCTAAATGGTTCAGAAATTACAACGATTATTTAATAATGATGATAATAATAATAATAATTAAATAATTATATAAAAAAACTAAATATAAATTTCTTGTTTTAATGCACTGATATTTTACCAATTTTTATTAAATTTCTATGATTATTAAATAAAATATAATTAATAAATAAAAACAAAACCATTTTGATTAGTAGTATTATTTTATTATTACAAATAAATTCATAAAATAATTTTTTTTTAAATGCTGCTGTTTTTTTCCCATGTATTTTATATATGTCTGTTTATTTGCAAGAGATGGCTATCAGTCAAAACCTATTAAATCTATTGTTTTGAAAGTATTTTCCAAACCGACAACTCAACAGTAAAACCACATGTCAATTAAAATGCACAGCAGTACGTGGTTGTTTGTTTGTTTGTGTCATTTTTTAAGTGATTACACATTGCAGTCATTAATGGCCCTCTTTTTTTAACTGCAGAATCACTCTGGGAGTGAGAAACGGGGAGAGCGTGAGAGGATTCACTGCAGTCTTGAGTGTGTGGGTGGAAATTTTCAGTGTCGACTGTCAGGGGTTTTTTCTTTCGCTTCTGCTTCAGTTGCTTTAGGCGTAGAGGTGTCACGCTGATGTGTCAAAACACTAGCAGGTAGGCCGATGTGTGACTCACACTCTAGCTCCTCTACCATCCATCCAATCACAGTGTAATTGACAATCACAATCTTGGTAAACGGCAGCTTGACGGTAGCTAATCAGACGGCAGGCTTGAGTCAATAAACCTACGCTGACCTTGTGTTGCATTTAAAATACAAAGTTGAGTGAGTTTTGTAGACTGATGCTCTTACTGATAGGTAGTTTAAAGGGGTCATATGATGCGATTTTCAATTTTTCCTTTCTCTTTGGAGTGTTACAAGCTCTTGGTGCATAAAGAAGATCTGTAAAGTTGCAAAGACTAAAGTCTCAAATCCAAAGAGATATTCTTTATAAAAGTTAAGAGTCAGCCACGCCTACCTAAAACGGCTCGTTCTAACACGCCCCCACATACCTACGTCACGATCTGGGAAGATTTGCATAAAGCCGCCCAAATGTCCACCCAAAGAAAGAAGGCGTAACTTTTATCCTCGCTGTAGTATTGTTGTTGCCGCCGCCATGTCATGGAGACGCTGTGTGTTTCGTTGTGAAAGCGAAACTACTTTATTTGGTCTTCCAAA